CGCGGGCTGCGGCGGGAGGCTCTTCCCGCCCCGCTCACCCCGATTCCCCCTCGCGCTCCCCCGCAGGGCGCCGGCCATGGAGCCGGGCACCATCGACAACCTGTCCATCCTGTACCAGAGCTCCGACTTCATCGTGGTCAACAAGCACTGGGACATCCGCATCGACAGCAAGATGTAGTACGAGACGCTGACCCTGCAGAGCCAGCTCAAGTATCCCTTCCCCGAGCCCGACCCCGAATCTCGCCCTGGTAAGCCCACCCCGCCAGGTCCTGCTTCTGGACGTATCTTCTGAGTTTCCGACGTTGCAGCTCGGCCTCTGCTTCTCGTCGTCCCGGCGCCGGTGAGGAACGGGTGCCGGGGCTCGGTTTGCAAACTGGCTTTCTGCCCTGCAGGTCAGGGGCCACGTCAGCCAGAGCCGAATGACGATCCGCTACGCCATAGGGAAGAACACCACCGAGGGCATGACCCACATGATGTGCATCGATGGGACGGAGGGTGAGCAGCTCCCGCGCCCTGCCTGCGCTGCCCGGACCACCTGGGCCACGCTGCGGGGAGCTGACCCCCCCCCTCCGGATCTTGTTGCAGGCTGTGAAAATCCCAAGCCTTGCCAGTCGGAGCTGATCGTGCTCGAGCACGGGTCCTACAGCGGAGACCCCGTAACCAAAGTGCTGCTGCAGCCGCTGACAGGTGGGAGCTCGGGGCCGGGGCGGCGCGGGCGCGGGGGGGCTGCTGAGGCTGGACAGACAGAGGCAGCAGAGGTGCTGCAGCGGGACCTGCGCTTGCAGCCCTGGGCCTTGGGTTGCAGCGTGGTGGCATAGTAAAAAACAAAGCCTAGAAAGGGCTGAGCGGAGCTGAGCGCCGCACTCGGCTCGCGGAGGACTCGGGTTCTCAGACTGGGGGGACAAACGCCGTTTGGTGCGTTGCCACCTCGCACCACTGTGCCCTCGAGGAGGGATTCAGGGATAACCTGTGTCCCTGATTCCTCCGCTCCCGCTCTCCCCCTAGGGCGGACTCATCAGCTGCGGGTTCACTGCAGCGCCATTGGCCACCCCATCGTGGGGGACTTCACCTACAGCCACAAGAAGGACAGCAGTCCCTATAGGATGATGCTCCATGCCTACTACCTGCGCATCCCCACCGGCAAGGAGCTCATCGAGGTCTGCGCGCCCGACCCCTTCGTCACCACAATGGACAGCAACTGGGTGCCCCACCACGTCACTCACCGGCTGGATGAGACCATCCAAGAGCTGAAGGACAAGATGATGCAGAAGGGGGAAGAGGAGGAGGGCCAGGAAGCCGTGCTTGGTGGCGGAGGAGAGGAGGCACTGAGCGAAGCCAAGAGCCCGGAGACGGAGGAGCAGCGAGCCCGGTGCGAGCAGTGGTTGGCCGAGTGGGCTTTGGAGTGAGCACAAGCCACGTCTGCATTTCCAGCCCAATGCTCCATTTTCGTCCCAGTGGGTCTCCACAGAGCCCAGCGCTGACTCCACATCTGCACATTCTCTATGCCGTGGCTTCCCTCACTTCTGGGGCTGGGATTAGACAGATTTTAGCAGAGATTAGGATGAGTTTATTTTTTAATGTACACATCATCCATCCGGGCACCGGATGCCCCTTTCCTAATTCTGGGCCTCAGCAGCAGAGTCAGTGTGTCACGTACCATCTTAGAGTGACCCTAAAGCTTTACGTCCCTGTCCCGGGGCTCAGGCACAGCCGGGACAGCACAGACGCTGCCTTTGCCACGAGCGCGATGGACGTATCCGCAAACCCGCAGTGCTAGGATGCTAAAACGCAGCCCAGCAAAGGGAGAGGAGAACGTGCCGGGTGCAGCTTCCGTGCCCGCGTCCCCAGTTCCCTTCGCTCCAGCCTGCTGTGCTCACCGGCACGCGCGTTGTGCGAGAGGTGGGAGATCAGGAGGCTGAAGTGCAGCTCGGGAGCACCGACAGCCCTCCTAGTCCCGGGGCGGCCCCGGGTGTTTCGCCCGCGGAGCTGGGCTGTGCGGCGGGCGCAGGAGAGGTCCCCGCCTGCCACCGAGGATGTGCTGCCTGCCCGTCCCTGCCCTCGCGCTTTCCTCCCTGCCTCAGCCCACGTGTGGTTTGTTTTTTTTTTTAAAGGTTTGTTGGAGGTGAGTGAGTGGATACGAATGGATTTTAAACTTTTTTCAAATTTCTACGAGAAGAATCTAGTCTTTTAGCGGTTCTGAAATACCAGTGGTCTCGGAAATGCATGTATTTTTAGTACTTCTGTGGTCAGAATAGCCAGCAGCCCAAAGCTTTTTTAATAGATCTTACTATTCTTTCTCCTAGCGTTGCCTTTTCCTAGCACCCACTTTTATCCGGGGTGTGGATGTAATCCCTGCTGAGACGGGTCAGAAGACACGAGCCCCCTTCTGCTTTACCCAAACGAGGGGGAATCAGTTTTTGTCCCGTCGCGTGGATCCTCGCTGGCAGGTTGCTGCGGGGGGTGTCAGCGCCGGGGGGGTGAAGCAGGCAGGGCCTTCGGGTGGGCAGTTTGGGAGGGCTCTGGAGCAGCGAGAGCGGCCGAGGAAATGGTTGAAGCTGAAAGAAAGGCTGAGGACTGATGCGAAGAGCGGGAAGGAGCTCGTCTCCCACGCTGGCGCTCAGCTTTGCAAGACGCGGAGAGGAGTTTCTCTGGAAATGCCCTTGCTTTGCCGGCCGGCGGCGTGCCGCTTTCCTCTCTCCCTC